CAGGTCTTCTGCCTTGTATGCCACCTTCTTCCGCTTCACAAGTCGCTAGGATTTCTCGTTTCAAAACCACGCTCTCCTGATGCTACTGTGCGTCTCACCCAGTACCTTATTGTTGCATTGTAGAATGATTTCGTAGGAGATCTTGCCGTATACTCTTGCCTCTTGCCTATACTGGCCCGTCAGTGTCTGGGAAACTAATTTCCACTATCCTTATTTTGAGGCCGCCTTTCCCGCTTGGTGCAACACCACCACGCTCGGTACTTACCCTTGTCTTCTTGCACAAATCTATGGTAGTGTCCGTCAGGAGTGGTCTGTGCTACGAGAGCCAATTCTTCGCCAGGGAGTACCTTGATGTCCTTCACAGTTTTGAGGGATATCTTCTTACCAGCACATGGTCGATTTCCGTTTGTCTTCCACCACTGCCCTAGGCTACTTTCTGAGTCTAGTCTCATTTTAGCTAAAACCCCGCCGTATTGCATCCACCCGCCTACCTCCGAGCGTTCCTCACTTTCATCCTTTACCACCGTTCAGCCTTTCCAGGCGGTTGCTGCCAACGTGGCCATCAGATCACCTGTGGTGGCTACGTCAAGGTTCACATAGAACCTTGACACACCTTTGTTGCATCCAGCTTGCGGTGCGTACACGTACAGTACTGCCCAGTATCCCTCCTTCGCGTCTATCTAACATCCATAGAACTCGTCCTTCTCACTTCGGGGCATCCGGTCTGCGGTGCGTACACGGAGAGTATTGACCAGTACCCCTCCTTCGTGTCTATCCTCACAGCCATGATCCGATCGCTGATCCTGTTCACAGCGGAGACATAGTCCTTGAGCGACTCCGCTACCGCTATGGCCACACCGTTCCGCTTGGTGTCTTCTCCATTGTAGTAGAGTTTGACACCTTCCCCGATTTCCCTGGCCTTAGCACCTTTCCATCGCGTCTCCTGAAGGCATAGGACTTGGATGTTCCTGCGCGTCAATCAGATCAGCAGCCTCTCGGAGACTGCCAGCTAAGACCTTACGTTCCGAACTAACTTCTTAAACCGATGTTTTTCAATCCTCGATGGCCCGACAACAAAACTCGGTAAAGGGTTCTGCGCGCCATTTCCGTGTGGTGACGTCCTAGCAAGTTTCCATCGCTTCTCTCAAGGGGTAGGTGATACTTTTGCAATACTTTTGCGACACACAGACATGATTGGTGTGACTGGGGTGTTCATCAGCCGGCCTGTCAACCTGGGCCTGACGCTGGTACTAGAACCATTTTTGCAATTTTTGCAAGGCATGGTTAACCTCGGCAGGGATCGAACTCGCGGTTTTCAGAGGTGCAGAGACGAGTTCAAACCGTCAACCACTCGGCTTCCCTTGCCCTTTCGGTCTGAATAATTCAGTGAAAACAAAAAACACTTACCGGTCTCGGAGTCGGCTCATGTGCTGTCGTCGTACCTTCATCCTACAGAAAGGACATTATAGCAAAGAAGAACTCTGCCATTACCAGTTGGGTTCGAAGTGAAGACAAAATCACTCACCGGTTTCGGAGTCGGCTCGTGCGCCGTCGTTGTACCCTCATCCTATAAAGGGTACATTATACCAAAGAACATCACTGCCACTGATAGATGGGTTGGATAATTCGATGAAAACAAAATCGCTCACCGGTTTCGGAGTTGGCTCATGTGCTGTCGTTGTACCTTCATCCTATAAAGGGGACATTATTACGGCCAAGACGACTACTGTCATCGACAGTTCGCTTCGAATAATGTGATGAGAACAAAATCACTCCGGTTTCGGAGTCGGCTTATAAGCTGTCGTTGAACCCTCATCCTCTAATTTAGAAGTCAATCAAGTACTTGGATAGCTCGCGTCACTGCAACGTACACAGCGGTAAAAGGAAAACATAAGTATTGCAGATTGATATGCAAAGGGAAAAATAGCCTGCAAGGTTAGGGTGTTCTGAAAAGGCATTATTGTGCCCTCGTCCTTCGACAAGGGACTGACCAGAAGTCTTCCTGGACGTGAAGCGCTTTTTCAAAAGGATTTCCCGCATTTTCTAGGAGGACGCACGTGGAGCATTGAACTGAAAATTATTCTTTTTGTGCAGCTCTGGGTGCCAAAAAGTATGTGTAAAATTGGTTTTTTGTTTGATCCCCACTGAGGAAATTTTTTCGCATTCGTCTGTTCTACTTCCTTGCGCTCATATATGTCAAAAGTTATTTACTGAACAGAAACTTTCTATTACGCCCAATTCGACGCTATAAATGCTGTTCATAATGTAGAAGCTTCACTTCTTATGAAGAAATCTTCTTGTTTTCTGCCCTTTTTCTGGCAATACGGGCCCCTCAGAAAAGAATTGTAATCGATTTCATGCTCTACGCATGTGCCCATATTATGTGCAAAACACCAAACCGTTCTGAAAAAGCCGTCCTATGTTCTGAACGAATTTCCCGGTAAGGTGTTGACTAACTCGTGCTCTGCGGCTCTTTCATATCCCAGTGATTTGGGAAAACTAATATTGATAGATATATTAGATTATTAGATAGATTTTGATAGATAGATATGTACTAATATTGATATTGATATGGCAAACTGAGAAAGCTCATCTGAAATGATGTGCAAAGTAGAGTTAACTAACAGGCTTGGGTGTCGGCTGACAAGCTGTCAATGTGCCTTCATCCTGAAATCGAGCATTGCAATCTCAACTCCACAGTAATGGATAAGATTACGAAAAAATTTTTGGATTAAAGGAAGTGGTTACGATAAAGAGGGAGCGCATTGGGGAAGTATGTGCACTACACGAATCAGTTACTTGAAACTAGTTACTGAAACAGGAAACGGAAACTAGACTACCTTGTTATCCAGACCCCTTATAAATTATACATTTATATTTACAAACTTAATCATTGAAAATTTAAATTATTAAATTATTGAATAATAACAAAACTCTTTTATAAAGTCTACATTTCTGTTTGCTTGCCAGGGAAGCAAGATGTGTCACTTTCACAGCGAAAGGTGCGCTGGTTGCTGAGCAGGACTTCGAAAGCAAAAGCGATCCGCCCACTAGTTTACTTGTTGATTTGGACGAGCTGCGTGGCCAGCAGCGGCGCAAATGGAGCATCTCGATTAAGCGTATTTGGCATGGTGCCATCAAATTGCGGTGAACTCGTTCATACCTTTCTGAGCTGTTACCTGTTCATGAGTGAAAACCAACGGCCAAAAAAGGGGTCCCGTTTTGCGTTTTCTTGACGGATTTTTCTGCTTTTTTCGCTACTGGCGTACCATTGAGCACCACCACGTCACACTTAACCTTCTTGAATTTATCGTAATCGCTGCCTTCAAGTGTACCGTGTATTCAATAAGTTACATCCATATGTCTACAAAGTGGGAAGATCTTCGTGACTACATAAGAATCCTTGATTATTTCTGCAATTTGGCCTAATTTCGAAGTTGACGCGATCAATGGTCATGAGGACAGAGCTCCTCCAAGGTATTCTTGAAGAAGCACTCAACGAAGAGAATTCTGGCATGGAATTCACAGCCAACCAGAAAATTTTAAGGAATCTCCATCAGACTAACTTCCAACTGATCAACTTTTTTAGGTCAGAAATTCGATCCGCATCAATAGAATTAAATGTACCCAGTTATCCATCAAAACGCCAACTGTGCTGCAAAAGAACCACCCACTGTGGTGTAGAATGAACCTCTTCATGCAGTGCATTGCATACATTGCATCAGGACAATTCCACACTCCTGATAGTTGGGAACACTTGAAGAGCGTCCAGTCAAAATGATCAACCTTATCCATCCAAAACTTCACCTTTCCACTCATCAAATCTAGGTAGAAGAGAGTGAGTTCCACCATCTATTCAGGGCTTGAGCTTACTAATGCAAGGTCCCTTTGAACACCAAATTCTATTTGTCTCGAAGGGATAGAACGGGCTATGTGTGACATTTTCTGGCGAAAGATTCATCTGGAGCAAATAAAGGTTATGTTCAGGCATCGTTTAGAGTAGGCGCAAACAGCGGAAATTGCACATGCTCGCAAATCTTCTTTGATTGTTCCACGTCTAGTCGCTTATGTTCTTTTTGTATGCGGCAGCTTATTCTGACTTATGTGGTGTCGCAGAACACCGTAGGGGTGCGGTTTCTCAAAGTGGTGCATTCCGTTTTTTAATCCCCAACCTATCACTGACGGTAAGTTACACCGACAACATTGTAACTGTAACACTAAAATCTTACAGGCTTTTGGAGTAGGCTCAGCCGCAGTAGAGGTACCTTCGTCCTGTAAATAAGTCCCTATCAATCTACACATCCTTCTATACAGCAGCTCATTATCCTCTTAAACAAATGAACAGCGTATGTAGTACAGTTAGGTGCTTGGATTTCTTTCTTTTAAAAGGTCATCCGTTTGAAAACTTCCAGATTAACTTAACTAACTAAGAACGAATCTACGACATCTTCCAGTGAAGTAAACAATTTTGGTCTCACAGGTTTAGGCGTGGGCTCATGTGCAGTATTCGTGCCTTCGTCCTGCAAGCAGCGGGTTTTAATATAAGACATTTCAATAATCAGCCTCACAACTGATTTGTTTGTAGAGCAGACAGCGCTATAAAGCGGCAAAACTATGAGCAAGCTCTTGAAGTGTTGTACGTCAGATAAATAGTCACGCCGAACTTCTAGATCTGATCCAGATCGCAACAGAAACAATTAGGTTGGAACAGTTGAAATGTCACTCGTTTGTGCCTTTGTTTCTCAGCCTAAACACAATCTCTTAGGATGGGAGACGCACAATCGAAATATTAGGCGCCACTGAGCGGATGTTCTTCGAGCCAAAACTTTTGCTCGAAGATGACTGATCAGAAATCATCGTCTGAGCGTATATATTCAAGCAACGAAAAACGGCCAACGAATCCCACTCATTGTGTGCAAAACATTGAGCAGTAACACTTAGTCTCTGATGCACTTTCAGCTATGGTTCCAGCTCTTCCAAGACTCAGAGGCGGACCTGGCGACCAGGGTCAATCCTACGTTGTTACTAGTAACAACGGGGGGTCGTACCTGGTTGAGTTTATAGGAGGGGGGTCGTATCCGCTTCAGTCGCGTGAAATACATGTGAGTTTGTGGTGAAAGTGGAGTTTTCATGGGTAGTAGGCTGGGTGAGTTGAGGGGCGCAGGAAGAAAATTTACCGTTTCAGCGCGCGTGTAAATTGGTAAATAATTGGTTGAAAATTTAGGGAATTTTGGTAAATTTTTACTGTTTCATAGTGGGTATATACCCCCCCCCCGCTCGACGGCATTTTTGGAGGAAAAAGTGGGCGGAGTTTGGGGGTTGAGTGGTACCAGAATTAAATACTATAGAGAGGAATATGGTGGTCGAGGTGTCGAAAAATGGGGTCTCGTACCAAGTCCACCTTGGCGGAGGGGGGTCCTAAAATCCTTCTATTATATAAAGCGCTAACTTTGTGTGTCGGTTTGTGTATCTGTATGTGTGTGTGTGTGTGAGTGTGTGTGTGTGTATGTATGTATGTATGTGTGTGTGTCCGTCCGCAAAATGAAGTGAGTGAGAAGGAAGCTCATGGGATAAACAAACCGCTAACAAATCGGGTAGCTTACAGGATTTGAGATATCAATGTTTTGTAGCAGGATAGTTGTGATAACACTCTTAGGGCTATATAAACACCTGCTTAGCACACTTCCGTTCATTCCACATGGTGCTGCAGTGGCAGCTGGAGGGCAGTGGAGAGAGGAAGGGAGGATGAGGAAGGGAAGCGAAAAATCTACCGTCATATCATGATTGTGTCCCTTCTACTGTATGAAACACCATTGTGTTGCATACGCGTCACTTCCAGGAGGTGTTGGTGTCACAGGAGGAAGGGACCATAGCGGAGGATAGAAAGCTTGCGCAGGAAAGGAAGGTCCCGGCGGTTGACGGGGGACTAATCTGGTAAAAAAGCAAAACGAATAGCGACTAACCGATGCTGCAGGCTAGATACGTGGTTTTGACTCTGAGCTGTGGATGACGGAGAAATAAGGAGCACGAATTGAAGACTCGCCAACGACAAAAATTTGCGCCGCTTAGATCCAGTATGTGATCGAGAATATTTGAGTTCCGGCGTGTGACAGTTGTTAAGGCCTTCAGGATAGATAACCGGTTTTGTCCGTCTGTTGAGCGACGCGAGCAAGCAGTACTGCGTTGCCAATATTGGAACTTCGCTCCATAACTTCAAGAGGAAAAAGATTCTTGACTTCGTGTTGACCGTATTTTACAATGAGATGTTTCCCAATAACAACGCGAGAAGAGGACCGTGGTCGGCGGGCCGATGGACGGCTGAGGGTGACTTCAAACTCAGACATCCACGGAAACAAAGTCATGTTTTATATAGTGATACAGTATAGCAACGGTGTACCACGGAATGCTGATTGTGGGTTATACAGTTACAGCTGAACTCTGCGTATAACAGCTCCACCACGTGGGCCGAGCTCCGCGTCGTCAGAGGGTAATTTCGGCCAATGAAAAATTATGGCACGAGAAGCACGATAATGCAAGACCACATGTCGCGAAAATCTTGCAACAAGAAATCGAGGAGTTGGGCTGGGACGTTCTACCTCCGGCGCCATATAGCCCAGGTCTGGCGCCGTCCGACTATCACTGACCCAGGTCAGCGCAACACTCCTTAGCAGCAAACCAATTCGATAACCGCGACGACGTCAAAATTTGAGTGCCCAACTTCTTCGAGTCGAACCATAAAGGGATCTGCGCGGTAGGCATCCATGCTTTGCGTAACGAAAGGTGATGAGCCTGTGACACAGGTGAAGGAGATGGTTCAGGTTGATGTGCTTCATTATTGTTTTTATAATGAAAATAATTGATGATCGAAAACGACATTTCAACTGTTCCAACCTAATATTTACTGAAATCAGTCTCAGCAAAGGAAGCAAAAATCGAAATCTCACCGGTCTGGGGGTAGGCAGGACAGCAGTCTTGGTTCCAGCGTCCTGTCACAGATTCTTATTTTTCTGGACCATCACTTCCTATGACGTTGATGGCAAGGTATTCGGGTGGTCTCAATGGGTTTAAAAAGTTATTCAACTTCTGCAAAGACGGGGTAGTGGAAAAAAAAACAGTAGATGACTTGCCCTCGAGAAAAAAGAAATTAAATCACATGTCCTAAACAAGGCCCTACTTTTCTGGGTAGTAGATGGGACACAACATTGTAAGAAAAACTTCGCAATGAGGCGAAAAAACGACAGATGGAGACGAGAGAGTGTAACAAAAAGCGAGGCAACAAATACCACAACTGGTGGGCATTTATTCACCTATTCATGCAAGGTAGGGCGGTCACAGATTGGTGAGGTGACCGCTAGATTTTACGTAAACTGGAGCAATAGTTTCAGATTAGGTCAGGAATTTGCCCCTAGTGATAGTTTGACACGAAAACGCGACTATACAGTCACGCTCTCATTCAAAGCGAAATTTCTTGATGAATTCGTCTCAGCCGCTAGTAGCACACGAACTCATGAGCAAGTAGCGCACACATCTGGTAGGAGGGTCACAAACCTCTCGATCGATTGTTCACAATGAGTAGTCCAAGTTAGCCTGGACAAAAGGTCTTTACTGTGTTTCTTGTGAAAGAGCACTTTCGTTAGGAAGTCAATCTCACGACCCCCTCTTCTGTGACCTAAATAACTAGCGTTGCGCTTCTCTGATACGCAAGTCCTTAAACTGTCTGGTAGATTTGAGGAGAGAGTTCTGAGACGTTAGGAACGACTGGAACTGTGTACACCTCATTGGAGATAGCAGAACTGATCTGTGTAGCTTTTTAGTTAGCGATCAACTTACTCAAAAGTGAGGGTAAGTTGCAAAAATCTCATTTTCACTTGTGAAGCGGGCTGGTTTGGGCTGCTTGCACGACGAAAAGTGCGCTGTTTGCTGACAGCAGGGACTTCGAAAGCGCTCGCTCCAAGAGGGACTCTGTTGGATTTGGGACGAGGCCTGCGTTTCCGAGCAGCAGCAGCAAATAGAGCATTCAATGAAATGCGTATATTTGGCAGGTGCCATCAAACGCGTTGGAGGAGACCGCTTGTTCAACTGTCATATTCTGAGCATATACTGCTTCACTGAGTGAAAACCAACGACCGAAAGAGGGATCCCGTTTCGCGTATTCTTGACGGATTTTCTGCTTTTTCGCTTCTGGCGTAGCACTTTAGCACCACAGCGTTACACATCAAAGCCTTCTTGAATTTATCGTAATCGCTGCCTTTTACAGCTCCTTCGGAGGAGCTTTTTTCTTGTAATAGCAGGCCGGATGATATGATCTGCCCTTATCGATAAGTCGAATAGCTTCCTTTTCACCTTCTCGGGGAACGATAGGGTTGCGGCAAGCAGCACAACGTGGAGAGAACTTGCTGAAATGGTCATCTAGTCAATTTTTGATGAGCCTGAAGCTTGACAGTTTTCGTGATAATTCTTATAAAAATTGTGCTTTCCTGCAGTTATGTTATTTCAAAACTTAATGGAGCCTAGAAACATTCGACAAAACCTAAGGGCGGAGCTCCCGATGGAAAGGCAGTCCATCAGAAATGAATATAGAGATTATCAGTGGTGCAAAGATGAAGAAAAACCATGATTAACGGACCAGAACCTTCGAAATGGGACCCGTTTCATGCCCTCGATTTCCACATTGATGCGACTTTCATCGGTGCTGCCCTCTTCAGTGCTAACGCTCTCTCTCTCTCTGCTAAAGTCAGACGCGAGAGGATGGGGGTGCAACGGCTCGAGCGGCGCGTTTATGGCCCTATTAGATCGCTGGGGCCATATTCTTTGCTCAGAAGGCGCATGAACCTGCACCCTTAAGGGACGTAGCTGTCTTCGACTTTGTATATTCCCCACTCTCCGACCTTCCACTTTAACGTGGAATCCTCCTTTAACAGAACCCTGTCTCAACCATTCAAGCAAGTCTTCGTATGCCATAGGTTGACTTGCAAAATTTTTCCGAGCAACGTACTTTTTTTCATCATGGTATGTGACCGGATCCTTCAGTGGTGGTATATGAAAGTTTGAAGAAAGTACTTACTCCTGATAGCATGGTATGCAGTAGGGCTTGTCTATGGGAGTAGCCGTGAATGGAATGCCCTCGAGTGGTTTTTGGCATGTTTCACAGACGAAGCAACCAGGATGCCATGCACCTCCACGAGATCGTATGAGCCGTTCCGTGACTGTTTTGTTGCACTTGAGGCACTTTTCCAGAACTTTCTGAACAACTTTACAGATAAATATGAGTGAAATACTTTACCACTGCCAAAGCCGCTTGGAAGTATGTACCCTTTACTGTACCAAGTAAATTGTTCTCGCTTTATCAAGTGGTCAAAGGCAGGCATATTTAGCCATTCAGGGTCAGAGAAATGTAGAAACTGTTTTAAATATAAAGTTAAACAAAATACTAAAGGAGGGTTCACAAAAAGTCAGTTTGGCTTCCGTTCGGC